CACGGCAAGCAACCCTCCACTGAGAATTAGGGCAAAAACCACCGACATCGCCCTCCCCGGCAGTTGAGTAGTCTTACAGGAGGATTTTCCTGAACTCGCTACTAAATGCACATTGCATTGCTGCCCATTGCACTCCTTGGCTTACAAATCAATTTTTCGCATCACCCAGTATCAAATGCCATTCAACACCAACGGAAACGAACGAGCGGGAAAAAAGTATAGGGAAAACGAGCACGGAAAACTTGTATGAGAGAATAGTTTTCCAGAGCCCTTGCAAAATTGAGGTTACAGTGACGAACTAATGCACCAGTACATTGCATCATTGGTCAGTTCAAAGGTAGAAGGTACTTGCTCAAAAATAGTAGCTTGGGTGCTATATAGTGCGGAAAGTGAAGAAAAAGCGAAGTTAAACGGCTAAAAACCTGCGAATAACTTTTGTTCTGCAAGGCACGGACGAGCATTTTTGGATGAGCCTTCCGTTGGCATCGTGACAACAACCCGCTTTGATAGGTCCTGCTGCATCTCTATTTAGCAACGTCTCCTATGAACTGTACTTCACAAATGAAGCGATGAGAACACCAGCATCGATGACGGACTGCACGGGCTTTGTGGGCGGGAGGTTGCGATGGGCTTCTGGGTCGGCATGTTGCACCGTCGTTTGGTCTATAACGGTGCCCTCGGTTAAAAAAGCGCCACGTGGTGCCTGCTAAGGAGCACAATATTCCTTCGTATATGCTTGCACATCGTTCCTGTACTCCTTGTCGATTTATCGTGCCAATTGCCTTCAAGCAGAAACCTGTCAAACTGACTGTTTGTGCCCCTCTCGCAGGACTTAGGGAAACCGAAATGGATCACAAAAGCGATCATAATCAGCAATTCAACGCGTACAACCCCTGAGAGGAGCACATGATCATCCTATAACGCTGCAAACAACAAAGGCATGTAGTTGGCACTACCAGGCAGCAACGGCTGATCCAGACCGGAAAAGTCAAGCGCTTTTGTTCCTTCACCTCGCATTTCTGAGAGATGAAAACGGCACATCATTCGCCGCTGCGGACGTGGCTACCAAATTCGCGGAGGTATTCCCCGTATCACCTAATCGCGAAATAGGTCTTTACCCCTCATCTGCTGCCACTGGTATGGAATGAAACACTGAATTCTAAGAAAATTGCCTTTGGAGCACCGCGGAATACTCCGAAGCGAATGAGACGACGATCCGTCCAAAATATCGATCAGGTGAGAAGTTTTCCCACGACAGATTCGGCTAACACAGCTCACACAAAGCGTAAGTGGAGCAACTAACCTTTTCTCGCAAAGATTTTCGGCGTTTTTCTACGTCTTTCTCCCATTCTTGAAACTGCTTCACATAAGCATCGTAAGCGTCAGTGCCAATGGAACTTCTAAACAAGACGTACATTGCACTCTTTTCGCACATGTTCAAGGCTTTCTGTCAGCCGCTACAGAACCAAGCAGCAGAATTTTTTTTCACAACAACTTGTCTTCTACTAA